TTGGTCTCATTCTCACTGAGGATTAACTCTCTCTCAGCTCGATAAACCTGCATTCTCCTCCGTCCTGCAACTCAGAATACCTGTCTGCAGTGAACTCCGATAAAATGCTCACATAAGAATATTTGAAACCTTATAAAACAGACACATGTCCAAAATGTCAATAGGCTTTATGAAAACACATTTTTGTATAAAACCTGAAACACTTTTTGATAAGTGTACACACGCCGAGGTCCTAATGACATATTACGAAATAAATAACTTATGGAACAAATACATTCATTCCAATACATTCATTCAAATTGTATTACCAACGTAAGGGCTGAATATCAATAATTGCATTGGATGAGGATATAAAAATGTTGGGTTATTCATTGATCCGAAATAAATTACCTTTGATACATGCTAATGCAATTCTCGAGAATTTAAGATGAATATTGAAATGAATAACACTGAGTTTTAATCATTTTATATTATTCATTGAATTTGTTTAAAATAACGTGTTGTTGTTCATTTTTTTCTACATGTCCATACTACATTGCAAACACATCTCTGGATTATCCAACTAAAAGGGGCAGTTGAAATATAAACAGAGCGTTGATCGATGAATGTCTCTATGATCATCTCACTGTTTTCATGAAGAATCTGAAATTGACTCCCGGCAGGCAGATGCTTAACCCCAAATCATGTTGTACACATTGGCCCTGCTACTCGTTTTTTATATTTCTATCAAGAAAATGTATCACAAATGACAAAGAAGGACTTTTCCTTGTGCATATTTAGGCCTCCACTCTAAAAAATGTCACCGTAAATTAACGGTATTTTACTGGCAGCAAGGACGCCAGGAATTTACCGTTATTTCACGGCATAATACCGTAAATGGTTTTACACTATGTTACCGTAAAATGGATTACTGTATGTTACCGTACCAACTTGAACCATTTTTACTGTGAATCAACAGCAATTTACTGGCAGTAGACGCTAGTAACTTACTGTTTTATTTACAGTGCCCTACCGTAATATACGGTATGTTGTCGTATATTGGATTTCAGTTTGTTACCCTAGGATTACTGTTTTTGTGTTATAAATACCAGAATGTTACCGTTTACTTATAACCGTATACATTTGCATTCAATTCCCCACAAATTAAAGAAAGACAACCAAACTCATTTCGGTCATAGTGGTTGGAGTTTATTAAGACAAAAATGTTAGGCCTTTGTAACCAAGAACAAAACATAAAATATGCCGCATGTATACAATAATAAAAAAATGAATCATAAAATCATTAGGAACAAGGTAAACTAACTGCAACAATACGCTATGGAACACTTTCAATTGACCGCAATAAACGGCAGGGGTCCTTAATCCAGAGCCTCTGTAAAACAAACCAAAATTAAATATTTAGAAAAATTGTCATCTGTAAAATATTAAAATTACAAAGTTGAGGAAGACAACAAGATGTAAGGAAAGAGAATGTTAATTATGCTAGGCAAATCACACTTACCAACGTTACTTGGAGAGACGAGGCATTGAGAAACTCCTCCGATGTTGAACTGCACAGGTGTTCTGTATGAACTAAGATTACGCGTCTGACGTCACGTTCAGGAGCAGTCGGTCACGATTAACACTCAAATGACTTTTAGGTAATGAACACTTTGAATAATACAAATATTTATAATCTTTACATTCCGGCCATTGAAACGACAGCGAAGGCGGCGCATGGGATAGGGAGGGTGTGCTGTGCAGCACAAGGTTGGCGGTTTGAATCCTGGCTGCTCCCTGTGCCAAGTTGTCTCAAGTGTCACTGAGCAAGACACCTAACCCCCAATTACTCCACATAAAATTATGTCAAGTCATGCGCGTTTTGGATAAAAGTGACAGCTGCATGTATAGTAATGTCCTGTAAGTCAAAGCCATCATCGTATCTCATGAGATACTATCTCATTATGATGACTTACAGGAACTGTTTTTAAGTGGCTGACATGGGATTCCATACATTAACCTACAACAGATGTAGATGGATTGTGATTCACTGCACTTGTATGTGTATTTCCACCACTTCATAAAATATATGTAACATGCAGTTGAATTGCGGTAGTCTGCTATTATTGTAAATTGACAGCTTTAACTATTTATTCATGACATTCAGGGCTGTAGTGGAGGGTAAACGCACGTAAATGCCATTTACGCACCTCTGGAATTTTGGAAATAGCGTTTACCCTACCTCTAAATAACGTTTACCCACCTCTAAGTGGCGTTTACGCACCTCAAAGTTCCCTATATTCCTAGCCTTGTATTCTTCCGTTGGAATGATCCGAAATAAACTTGGTATTATTTTAAAACAGCTAAGACTACGTTTCCTATTGTTGAACATATAAACGCCGTAGTCTGAATCATTTTCATCTGCACTGTATTATGGTCTGACCATCCAATCAGTGCCTTGCGGCTGCAGCAGCAACACCAATCAGGATCCATGAGGTATGTAAACACATACACGTTGTGGATTAGCCCAGTGGTCCCGAACCTTTTTTACCTCACGGACCGGTTTCATGTCAGACAATATTTCGCGGACCCGTCGAGAAGGTCCGACGGGGGGGGTGTAGTCGTTTTTGCGGGCGGAACAACCGACGGGGGGGGGGGGGGGGCGGGGATTAATCCCGCGCTCTGGGTTCGCTGGGCGTGCACGGTAAAAAGACAAAAAAAAACCCCGGGGACCCCTAAATTAAAAAACAAAGCCCTTTCTCATTGGAAAAAAAACATGCCGTATAAGCCATTTTTGAAGAACTAGGGAGAACATGAGTGTTCCTTTAACTTATGGTGGCAGGGGAAATGACAGGGTGGCTAAATGGGTAACTCTCTAATTGCCCCAATTTTTTTCGGGGGTGGTAGGACAAGGGAATGATGCCAAAAGCCCCGGGAGAGGAGAAACACGAGGTTGAATAGAGATAGGAGAAGCATAGAGGAGCCATGAACCCCAGACGCGTTCTGGGGTTCATGCTCCTCTGTGCAAGGCAGGACCTGACGTGGAGGACAAGGAGGCCCTCTGGGCACTACTGTAAAAAGGAGACTCCGTATGTAGATAGTTCTTAATCTTGTCTTGTTGTGTTGTGTTGACATACTTTTCTTTACTGTTTTCTTAAATTTAATAAACTACAAACTACTAACACATTTATTCATTGTCATTGATTGTATATGACTTTTACTGATAACATAATGCAATATAGCCAGGACAGCCTTAAAAGAGTCGCGACGCTTTGTGTCGCGTTGCTTCGCATCGCGTCGAGGTCTGTATGATCACAAAATTCTGAGTTTACCCACCTCTAATTTACCACTACAGCACTGATGACATTGGCCGTTATTTTACAAGCAAGGGATGGAAATTTAACTGTATGTTACAGTTATTATGACATACTGTAAGATACCGTTAGAAATGCACCGTAAATTTACAGCAATTTGTTACAGTGTCCGTATGATAATTAATATAGTTATCACCTGCTGCATGATGTCTTACTGGGGCTACAGAACGAAAGTTGAAATTATCACCACGTGCGACAGAGAATAGATATATCATTTGAAATGACAGGTTGACTTAGCAGATCTGAAACAAAATGAAATAACCTTGTTTTTTCTTCCTGCTACGCACTCAGAGAGGCAGAAACCACAAAACACTCAACAGTACCAGCACACATTAGTAACCTGTGGTCAGTGATGCCGATCTGCTCTCCCCCATTTAAAAAACATTTTTTTTTTACTGCTGTTGATGAGGGACCGGGAGGCCTTAACCCCCAGAAACCTTTTGTAGCCCCTCGAGTGATTTAAACAGGTGACATATTGGTCACAAACTCATTTCTCTCAACATTAGCCTTTTGTCACCCCATTTACACCCCATGATGAGATTTGCAAAGGCCTATCTCAAGACGTTGCAGACAGGGCGCCCTCGAGCCTGCGTTGGATGAAGAAATGACAAATGGTTATCTTATCTTAACGACGAGGTAGCTTGTTGCTGATTGCACAATTTTGATTCATATTGAGGACCGGCTTTGCACCGGCATCCACATGCTACCCATTAATAACATTTATATAAGCCACAGATCCAGGATGTTATTTATCACGGTCAAAAGCTGCACAGGAATACTTATCCTTGTGCACATCTCCCTCCAGCTGGCAAAGTTGGACACACACACAACGGCTGGTGACTTTACCTGCCGAGAGAGAATCGTGAGTAAATATCACCACACTGCTGGATTTATCCCAAGTGGACTCAACCGCAGACTTTGTTATCCTTGGCCGATAAGATGTAAATAGAATCTCGGCCACATTATCAGCAGTGGATGAAAGAGTACTTGCGTAGACAGGAGCAACCTGTATGACATCCTCAGACTCGACTCATCCATCAGTGGGTCCATTCGGTATTAGCTATTGTTTCCTGGCAACTCGCTCTGTGAGGATTTTTAAGTTAAGTTCATGGAGCATCTCTCATGTGCACTGTACAGTTGTTTAGCGGATATCTTGGAGAGCTGAGTTTACTATACGATCACAACAAGCTCTAGATCTTATTTTCACGCTCTATTTGGTAACACTTACCAAGACGTACATACTGTATAATCCCTTATCATGGTTAGGTAAATGAATGACCAATAACCTTTATTTCACTTTTAACCCTCTCCTGCTTCAGTACTATACTTTGTTCTCTCCTTTCCTCGTCATTTTTCACTACTGCACCGAGTGTGTCGGGGCTCCCACCGCTCGGCTGTTTTGGGGTATTTTAAAACTGGTGGAGCGCGATTGATCTCTGTCTGATAACAGGATCCCCCCCCCCCCCCCCTCCCCCATCTGCAGGCGAGCCTTGGGTCATCCTTTATTTTTCCAGTTGGATCAGTCACAGGAAAATGATGCGGTGGCTATAGCAATATGACACTATGAGAAGAACACTTGAATTAACTATAACTACAAGAAAAGTGATTTTCTCTCCCTGTTATTCTTCCAACTCTGCCCCCATTCAGCTCCGCCGATCATCCGGCTGTCGGTGAACGACACGGTGGTGGTGGATCCCGGGCAGGACGTGCTGTTGAACTGCGAGGTGACGGCCGGTTTCCCCCCCCCTACTGTTGTGTGGTCACTTTACCCCAGATCGCTTCCCCTCAGCGCCCAAGTTCGAGGGCCAACGCTGATCCTGCGAGCTGTCACCCTGGACGATGCTGGGACCTACAACTGCACGGCTGTCAACAACGTGGGAAACCCGGCACGCAAGATCGTTAATCTCGTCGTCAGGAGTAAGTAATACACGCGTGTGCTTGGTTCAAACTCGACGTGACGTGTTCCGTGATCGTCCAGCAACATTGTAGGTTCTGTTTCTTTGCAATGTTTTCCTATTCATAATCATGCCATATGTTTTTTCCCTTTCCTTTTGGTAACTGAGGGGATAGTGTACAGAACAGATTTTTTATATTTTAATTTAAAGCTAAAAAAAAAAAAAAACACCACCACCTGCTCAGTTCTCGTTAGCTTCATTCTTTAACTGTAGTGTGTGAATGTGAGTAAATGTAATTATTTTGTGTGCACTGTATGTGTCTGTGTTGATTGTGACACACCCGCACTTGATCCGTCATTAAATCGAGCCGATGTGAACCTCGTAGGAACAGACGCGTTAAGTATAGCGCTCTTCCCTGGTGTTAAAACCAGAAGCCTTCAATTCTCCTTTCCCCTCCGGCTATTTTTAGTCCTTTTAATCATCTTATTCGCTCCAATTAGTTTGACTCGAGTGGAGGCAATTAGCAACAGTCTTCTGTTGGTTAACACCGCAAAGAACGTACGCTGGATGGGTTTCTCCTGTTTGCTTAATGGGCCTGAACGCATCGTCACACCGGCACAGGTGGCAGGACGGGGAACGTGAAACACTCTGGCGATCAGTGTAGGTGCACGGAGACGGAAGTCTGCAGGTAGTCGGGCGACGCGGTTGAAGATGTGCACGGGGGGCACGCGGAGGCCCAGACTCACACGCGACATTTTCTCCATACTAAACAGGTTGAAGATGCAGGATCATGTTGAACATATGGTCAGTGATTCGTACCCATGGCTCCACCCAAGCATCTTGTTAACAAGCTCGAATGGAGTTTAAACCAAGCTCTCCACTCCTCCTTGCCGGCTGTCTCTCCTGTCAGCGGAGGAGCAGAGAGCTGTTTTGTATTCAACATGGAAATCTGTTGGGGAAACACAGCCTTTGAAACTGGAAATTAAATGTGACACTGTGAGAGTTTTTCTTTGTCCTTGATTTTGTTCCCCCGCTACTCTTCCCTCCTTGACAATTTGCGTCTTCGTCTCTCTGTCCCTCTTTCTTGTTCAATTTACTTTTCCCTTTGGTTTCATTTTTTGCCCCCTGCTCATGCCTCACATGCTACGTTGAAAGCTTGTCTTTCTGTTTTGTATTAGACAGTATGGGGTTTTATTGTTTTATCGTCAACGAGGACATTCCTCTTACCATTCACAGCACAATCAATTGAGACTCACAGATTCATACACAATAATACAGAAAGACTAAGACATGAATTAGCACCCTAAACACCACGAAACACATAGATTTTTTAATAAATAATTTCCTTAAAATAGTATCAGCCATTCATTGCTCCTCCATTAGTTGAAATTTGATTTTGTATTTTTTCTTTTTTTTTTAACCATATTTGCCATTTTGCCTTTTATACTTTGTTGCCATGAAATTAAAAAACATATATGTAGAGAGTAAAAAAAAAAAAAAAGTCTGTAAAAAGTAAAATCATGATCATATAATAATCATTCAGTGCATGGACACATCCTTTTATCAATGCCAAAGCCATAATTAAGTTATCAATTAAAGGGAGTAACTAACTCAGAGGCCAGTAACTTGTTTGTTTCTGGCAGGATACTTTTTTTTTGTTTGAAATGTGTATTTTCCAGTTTTTACTGTGGCAGCAAAACACAGAACAGAAGCCCCCTTTTTTTCACTGTACACATTTTCCGTCGTTTGTTGATACTAACGATGGCTACTCACTCATTAGCAGCGGCTGCTTGTGGAAAGTGTTGAACACTAATTGAGTGAGCAAATGATTCATAAGTGAAAACCATTAGAAGTTTCACCTTGTAAAATCTAATTGAGTCTAAAATCTTTCAGAGTAAAGTGTTTGACATCTTTAGGAGAAGGAAATGTTCCTTTTTTAGGAATGATTACATTAGTATTTAGTATTTAAAATAGTTCCTCCTCCATTCCCTGTTTTTCAGGAATGCACCACAGCTGCACAATTGACCTCCTATTGAACCCCTTTTCTTCTCTTATTCACCCCGTTACACCACACAGCAATGAGCAACCTGACCTTCCAGATCACACCCGACTCTAACAAGGACAGCGAGACCATCCAGATGGGTCGGGACCTCAAGCTGTCGTGCCACGTTGACGCCACCCCACAGGACAAGGTCAACTACACCTGGTACAAGAACGGTGCACCCGTCTTCAACTCGGAGAGCCTGATTTTGCTGCGCAGCGACCCGGACATGGCACCCGGCACCAGTAGCTTGGAGATCGTGGACATGAAGTTCAGAGACTTGGCTACATACAGCTGTGTGGCGAACTTCCCTGGCAGCAGGGTGCCGGAGCTCCGTGTGGACGTCAACATCTCTCAGAACAGCGGTGAGGTTTCGCAGGGAAGTTTTATGACTTTGTATCTCTCGGAGTTGCTTCGGGCATTATAATGTTAGCACATCATTTTATAGGCTTTATCTATTTTAATGTTCCGATGTGGCATTAAAACTGTGATTGTCCAATAAAATTAAACTTATAAATGTCATTTTTATTCTCCGTCTGTCTCTGTTATTCAGTTTCCCTGTTCACCCCATATTTCATTTTAAAGTCATGTCACCCTCCAGACTCATAGCATTTAACCCTTTCTTGTTCTCATTCTATGTAGTTTATTTTGAAATTATACTGTCTTTCTTTCCTGCTCTTGTTCCCTCCAGTCTCCCCTCCGCTGCTGTCGGTTCCACCCGGCGGTCAGGTGGTCAGCGTGCGAGAGGGAGGTAATGTCGAGCTGGTGTGCTTGGTGGTAGATGGCAAACCTCGTCCACCTATACTCTGGTCACGGGCAGAAAAGGACCTGCTGATGCCATCGGGGACGGCAGTGATGGAGACGGCCGATGGACGTTTGAGACTGAAGAACGTCAGTCGGGACATGATGGGGGCATATCGGTGCCAGACTGCTCCATACAACGGGCTGAACATCAAACGCAGGGAGCTACAGGTCCAACTCAACGTGCAGTGTAAGTGCAGATCGGACCACATTCACCCGAGAACCCAAACGTAGAGCCGTAACTTTGGTTTAGGTTTTAAAATAATAAAACACAGAACTAGAATATTTGCAGTAGCAATGTTTAAAATCAAGTAGCAACAAACAGAGGATATAACTGTAACATTTCCTAGTTCTAGTAGAAAAGAAAAATTTGGTAGTATGTAAAGAGTGTTGAAGGGGAGCAAATAAACCCAGAGATGAGTTTTATGAAACTATCAATTCATATAAATGTATTTTGAGATTTTACTCAAACCTTACACATGGCAAAGAAAGCTGCATTTGTGCAGTAGTTGCGTATGTGCATCGTTCAACTTGTTGATTTTTACAAAATAACAAAAGCTATTTTATAACAAAATTCCAGTTTCCAGAAAAAACGGCATATACTTTTTCATACAGGATTTTACTTATATGTCCTGTGCCCCCATTTTAAGATGGATGTGCTCCAGTTAGCATATTGTAAACAATCACACATAGACTTAATACAATTGTGGAAAATATTTTATACAGGGGTTAATTGGTTGGTGCTGACCCCACCATCTTATTCTGAACACTTAAGGAAGCACAAAATTCAAGTAAGAATGAGGAAGCTTTATTAGTTTTGAAGAATTCAAGGACGTTGATCTTGTGTTGTGCACCCGTGTCGTGTCTTTGAAGAAAAACAAGATTTGTTATTGGCTTTCGTCAAACCCTCGTAGGTTATTGGTGTAAACACAGCAGTATATCATAGCATTGGTTTGTACTCAGAACATTTTTATTAACATTTTTATCAACACCCCCACCTACTTCCATTGTGCCCTGTGTACAAGAGGCACCATCAATTTAAGTTATGAAATGTTCAATCAGAAAAGCACGATGGCGCAAAAAAAGAAAGCAAAAAAACATAAAACTCAAAGGAGAACTTATTCATCAAGCAACTAGGACTCTCTCTTCAACCAAAGCTTTCAGAGCAACATAAATGTAGGCGCTACTTTTATACTAATTGATTTAATTCAATGTCAATCAATCTGTAAATATTTACCGTATACCAGACCCAACATGGACCCGTTAATTTACATGGATATAGCATTTAAAGCCTGGTCCAGGTCCTGCAGTACTAGTCCAAGTAGGACCACCTTCCACTCATAGGACATAGTTGATGAAAACACAGGCAAAGCAGTCTCCTCTCCTCTTGTTTCAGGAAGGATTTACCGGGTCTTTGTAATGCAGGCGGGGGCAGGAGGGCAACACTCTGTGAGCTTTGCTGTTCACACCGGCAGAGTCTGATTAATGGACCAGGTGGCCGCCCCTCTCTGGACTGAGAAGGGGAGATGTGTTAGGAGAGAGCTTGAAACGTGGTTAGGGATGGCAAAACCGTGGGGTTGCGAGGTTAGAAAGATGAAAAGGGACAGAGAGAAATAAAAAAAAGTTTGCAGAAAGAGCAACGGCATAAAATGATATTCAGCTACATCCCAAAAAGTGTGTTGAAACAATCTCACTTTGTTTGTTTGATCAGGTCATTCCTGGCCATTAATCACTGTTGACTGATGTGAAGGAACGAAGCCATCATTTTTTATGGCAGCCATAATTAAGAGGATATGTAGATTCTCTCCACTGTCCGCTTCTCTTTTTGCCTTTTCCTTCTTTACCTCTTCCAAGAGAGGTAGCTGTTCCTCCTTAGTGCCATTCTCATCATCATCAATCAGTGAACTACTGGCCGTGAGAGGGAAACTCTCTCCGTCTTGTCGCTCCCTTTCTGCATCCTGCATTCTCATCCCCCCCCCCCCCCGCCCCCCTTACTCGATCATCAGCTTCTCTCACTTTCACGCCGCACTCTCCCTATCATTTGTCTTCCTCGTTGTCTTATTCTTAAAGAGTTTTTTTCTATCCCTTCATCCCACCTTGCTCCCGCGTTCCGCTCATCCCGCTCTCATTCTCATGTAAATTGATTTTCTCTTCATGTTCTGTAAATGTTTAGCTTGGTCGGCGTTGCATTCCTGGATGGAATCCATTTTGCATTCAATAAGACAGATAGGGATGTTGTGTTTACACGGATTACGGTCTTCTGACTCTGGAACACGGCGGTGTGGCGTGAAATACACAGGAGTACATTTCAATCACCATTTTACAAATAAAGAAAGTGTTTTGAGTCTCAACTCAAATATCGCCTGGTGATTTCTAGTGGTCTTAGCATGCATATGCTTACTCATGTTCCTCTAGCTGGAGTGCATGTACAGAATGGTAAAAGCACTTACTCAAACAGGGAATTGGTTTGGTAGTGTTTACCTCTACCTATTTAAAACCTTTAACAAAAGCTTGACTCAATGGGCATTTGTTAACTTGGCAGCATACAGTTGTTGGGTTTTTATTTACTTCATATCCTGTTCGCGAAAAAGTGGAAACCAATAATTGACGTCGTTGTTTTCTAACAGATGCAAGAATGAATATAGAAAAAAACATAAGGATGATATTCATTTAATTAAACTTTAATTATCTTTCATATAGCTGGGGGCGGTTCAAAGGGAAGAATGCCAAGCTGACATAACAATACAAATTTCAGACCAATGTGAAATGAAAGTACATACACATAATGTACCATCCATAAAATACTAATAAACAACTGTGATAAAGAGTTAGGCTTTACATTTATGTTTAAAGATATCACCACTGGCTATATGTTAGCTTTTAAACATGAAAACAACTTGCGATGATGTTACCAGGGTTGCATCTATATTTTTAATGTCTTTCTGTCTCATGGTTTCATTACTGCTGGTATGGTTAAGATCAGACACTCGTTTCCAGCGTTCCCTGCTGCTCCTTGTGTTATCTTTCTGTCTTTCTACTCTCATCCCGACTGTACATGCAGCTCATCCACGGGCCTGCCCGTCTAAATTAGAGGCATAACACAGATTACACTGTAATTACACATCTGTGTCTGATAAAGTTGATTCATAAGGGACTGTAGTCGTGCTGCCTCACCTCAGGGGGCCTTAACGCCGGATCTCATCACTGTTATTACGGCGATAGCAACATTAGCATCTTGTCGATTATCCACATGATTAGCCAGGGGTGAACTAGCTGGCTGATGATTTGTGGTAGAGTCATTTGGCTGACTTGTGTCCTGTCTGACCCGGGGGCAACAACAGCTAGTCAGTCATTACCAGCAGAGCCACACATTGCAGCTGACAGTTTAATTACAGCTGCTTGGGATGGGTTAGCAGCAGGGACGCGAGTGTGCCCAGGTGAAATGCCTCGTTCCTTGTGGCGCTAAAAGTTCCTGTCGGATTATTTGTCAAAACTTGAATGTTTTGATCTGGTGTGATGAAATTCAACCTGCAGAGAATAAAAAGAAAAAAAGAGACATTATAACGTGATATAGATGATTGACATATTGGAAAGGCACTAAAGCTTGAATCTTAAATCTTCTGTGTCTGCAGTCCCTCCAATACTGGACCCGGTCTTCCAGGATGCGCGATCGAGGAACTCTCAGATGGTCACCCTGAGGTGTAACATCTTGCGTTCGAACCCGCCCCGCCTAACAGACATCCGTTGGTTCCGTAACGGCGACGCCATCCGCATGCCCATGGCTGACCTGAAGGAGATGCCTGAGCTGAAGTTTAAACTGGAACCTACAAACAATGGCTCTTATGAGTGCCGAGTCAGCAATAACGCGGGGACGTCAACGTGCACGTTTAACGTCTCTGGTGAGTGAACGAACCTGAGTTATAGTCATATTCAACGACGCAGTTATCTCCTGTTCTGTATCACTCGCTACTGATATTTAGCTCTCTCTCTCTCTCTCTCTCTCTCTCCCCTCCCCCATCCCACAGCACAACCTTACAACGCTGAGTTCTACTTCGACACACCGAATCCAGTGCGAATTCTAAAAGGAAACAACTATTCCTACAACCTGCAGTGGACACAGAAAGATCCCGAGGCTACGGATCGCATCATAGGCTACTGGATTAATGTCCGCAAGGTATGCTAATCCAGCACAAAGAACAAACCTGCAAACCGGAGAAAGGACTGGTACACATGCACACAAGCCTTTGGACACACGTATGCATACATGTAAAGATATAACCTAAATTATATGTTTATGTTTAGGTCATTTCTCCAACCAGATTCACTCTGGAATCCGTTTCGGAGCCCTTTCCAGAGTTTGAAACCTTTGTCCTCAGTAGGAGAGCAACCTCAGGCTACCCTCTATTTTTTTTTTTTTTTTCAAACATCTATTCATAGATTACTGGCTTTGAGTCAGAAGACAGCAAGGATAATAGTGAATTATACAGAACTGGCTGGGGGTTGGTGTGCGTGCGTGTGCGTGTGTGTCTGCGTGCGCGTGTGTATGTTTATACTTGCGTGCGTGCATGTATGAGACAGTTAAACAGAGGGAATGCAGGGTCTGCCAGCTTGCTTTTGTGCGGATGAATAGTTAGTTCCCCTCCTACTTTAAGACTTGGCTGCTTACCTCATTAAGTGAGACTCTAAAGGGAGACAGGAAATTAGCACCGGCCTTCTTAAGGCCCATTTGATTGCATGGCTCAGCTCTCTGAAAACATTCACGTTACCTCTCTCCTGTTCCCTCACCTTTTGTACTATATCTTTTACTCACAGCTCTGTTTTATCCACCATTTCTCCTCAGTGTGTCTTGCTTCCACTTGTGCTCGTCTCTCTCTCGGGCCTTTTAGCTTTTCCGGCACTTAAGTGTTGCAACTTAATGTCATTCAATGTTTGGTGAGACGTGGGAACTGAAATAGTGCTGAGAATTATGGCTTATTATGGTAACAGTATTAAATAACAAATTGCAATAAGTGGCAGTTTAAGACTTCATAAATGTTGTTAATTTCAAGGTTTTAACCCACATACCTTTAAAAATGCAATGAAGAGTGACTAAACTAAAGACAAAGCAAAAGGCTGGAACTCAAAATAAAGCGGGACTGTGAGAGAAATAAGATGCAAATTAAAGATTACAGTGAATCTCACTGGTCCTCTCGACTATTAAATAGAGTATGAGAACAGCAAATGTAATACCGTGTCAATTTCACAACCCATCTATTTCTGCAACACTCATCCCGGCGCATCTCCTTAACGCCTTGACGCCATCTTTTTAGCACATATAAAGTGATGTAGAGATCTCGGGGGAGACGGGAAGACACAGGGGGGAATACAGTAGACGGATGAGTTCATTTGGAGTAGCGGTCCTCGTGGTACATGCCGACTTTTGCTCAATGCTTAAAGTGTGGCCATCTGCTTTTCATTGATAAGTAACGGTTGTGTCTCTATTGTTCTTGTTTAAATAAATCAGGTTTTTGCCTGTATGTCTATATACACTGTATGTGTGTATATGTACTGTATATCCAGAAATATATGGATTTGTATTCACTTAAGTGCAGAGTATGTGTTTATTTCTGCGGGTGTGTGTGTGTCTGTGTGTGAGACAGGGAAAGAGAGACAGGCTACGTGATTTGCTCCATGACTCATTGGTGGGCTGTGAAATTGCCATTTACGCTTCTTCATTAGGTTTTGCTCTCCCTGCAGGGGGTATCCCTGTGTAGGAATCACCAACATTCACAAGCCTTCCTTCCTTTCATCAAGCCGCCCTCGCTCACCTTTTGTTCCCCTCAGCCTGTAAACCGAACAGTTTTGTAAACGAGCACTTTCATTCCCTTTTTTCTATATGCTATCAGCGCCTTGTCATAGGAAATTGTCCGTCTTTAGAGTTATTCATTAATACATTGAACTTATCTCAGGTCTATGCAACATTAATTCTGACCCGTCCAGAATTTAAAACATCTTAACATCAAACAAATACAAAAACGTGGACCAGTTAGTGCAATGTATCAGTACAGTCACAAGTTTGGACACACTTTCTTACTGAATTGAATGAGAAAATATGTACAAACCTTTGACTAATACAGTATTCAAACATAAAAGACAGCAGTTGAAGCTTCTGTAAAAAGTGTGCAATACCCAATAATTAACCTGATATCATTTTATGAAGTTATGAATGTGCGGCAGAATTGTTGCCTCACGTCATCCGTGGGATTTGACCGCCATGCTGTTTGTGCAGTCATTGTTGATCCCTCCCAAACAGTCAGAATACCAACTGTACAAATGATATTTGCCTAGTATAGAACGCACTGTGCACCGTGTCTGGGAGTGTTTAGCTCAGCCTGTGACTTCGATCTCCGAACTCAACAGACACTCCGCTCCTCTTCCCTTATCCCTCCAAGCAGTTATAAAGTAGATTCATAAAGGACTGGGATGAACACAATATGTTTTTGTAACCAAAACCCTTCTAGTGGCAGGCAAATGTGCACCTACTCACCTCTTTTCTTTAAGTTAATAAATATTTTCTAAATCATATTTTATTTTGAAAAACGACCAGATTCTCTCACAATTACATGCGCTTGTCCCTCTTGACACAAATCCCAATATATATATATATATATATATAGTGTACACATTGTCTACATATACCTCAGAGACACGCTACAATATACACACACTATCATCCTCATTGCTTTTGCACACCTTTCTTTCCTTTCCTATTTCTCGATCTTATCACATCATCGCCATATCGGCCTCTTGTCGACCTGCAGCTATGGAGTTGTATATTTAGAATATCACTGAAGCAGTGTGACAGGCAGCTGACCTGCCTTTAGGTTTTAACTACACATCTGAACAACCAGGTTGTTTCTGTTCAGAGACACTGTCAAACAAACTGTTTAAACACACACCCCTATTATCATATATATGAGAAATTAAAAATATCCATGATGAATTAGAGTTGTATATTAAATCAAATTAATGAATAATTCATGTGACCAACCCCACTATGCATAAACGTATACACATAAAGTTAGAGTGCATGTGCTTATGCAAGCACAGATAATCGTAAGAAACACAGTACACACGTGGCTCGTTAATGTACACACGGCCCAAATCAGTCAACTGGTGATCAATCATAAAAGGGAGGATAATAGAAAAATGGACTTACTTTGATTGGACCTCCGTCCATCAGTCTATCAACCAAACACGTTTCTCCCTATTAAAATATCACTCGCTCACTCCGGTCTTTTGACTGTCTCCTTGTATATAGATCCTTTTTGTACACACAATATATATTTTTCACCCCGGTCACTCCCTGTCACTCACATGCAAACACATCCTCTCTGTTCACTGACCTAATGAGGGAAGCAGAGAGAATGAGTCATTCGCCTGCAATTGAAGCTTCCGAAGTGCACACTTCAGCACCTTTTTATCTTTTTGTCCACAAACTGTATATGTTTTTGGGGTTTTTTTTTGTATACTTTCAACCTAGTTTATTCATCGGTTATGTCCCACACACTGGAACTACAACCAAAGCACGCATGTGCACATTTGTATGTGTGCACGCAGACCCTGTCCACGCGCTCTGCTTACTTCTAAAGCTCTGACTCCTCAGTGTTATTAACTCGTCTCTCCCTGCTAACACACACGCTATACATATTACATGAGCATAGCGCTTCTTTTCTGCTACATTTCACATAATTATGCCTACGCTGTACAAGCTGTGTGTAAATGTTTATATATATATATATATATATATATATATATATATATATATATATATATATATATTGTGTAATGTACTGTATAATGTACTGTAGTTCATTTGGAAACTGAACATCCGAGCCAACATCTTCCAGAGCAGATAAGATAAACTGGAAGCAGTCAGTATTAGTGCATTTGTGAACAATGAAAAAAAGGTTGCGCAATGTAAAAAAATGTATTTGATGAATGAGCTGTCCTGAAGTAAGAACATAAATACAGGTGGTAGTAGTCCTGTATTAATCAAATGCTCGGATTAATACCACCGAGCACCGCAGATTATATGTCAGTCGCATATTTCAATAAGTTCCAATCCGCTTTCTTTCAAAGCCTTTTCTGCTTTTGATACAAATGGCCTCTCTTTTACATTGTGTAGTTAAATCAAGGTTGAACCAATAAGTGGAAGGAATATCCGCAATTTGCCTTTTTTGTCCCCATAATAGCACTTTTCCCTCAAAGACAGAAGATATCCACATTGAGCTTTGAATACTCTACTTTTACTATACTATACTTTTTTGAAAGGCTTTTTTCCTTAATATCAGACATGTAATAATAACACAAATATCTAGTGATCCAAGACTTCACTATAGAAAACTTAAAAATGACACATTGCTGTTGGATAAATTGAACTCTCTGACCTTTTTTGGATATGATTTTCTCTTAAACCAAACGATTTGCTTTGCTGCCTTTTCATTGGAAAATTAAGTGTCCTTTTTATACAACACACTGCCACAAAGTCATTTAACAAGTCACTTCTCTCTGAACTCCCACTTACCTGATGGGGCTAACCAGAGTAATATTTCAGTTGGTACAATACCTGATCGACCAAACATTCCAACAACACACCACCTACAATACAATCAAACACGATTCCAGGTTGCAGGCCAGGTCCCATCCTGCAGAACCTTAGTGCTTACAGCAACATCACAAAGGGTACGGGAAGATTCCTCTTTGTGGATTTGATGGTTTGGATAATTGTGCTTGCATTGAAAAGGATGTTACATGACTCGCAAGAGAGAGTGAAAAGTTGGAGGATTTAAAAAAGGTTAACAGACCGAATGGCAGTTGAGAAAAGAAGATGAAAGAGCCATTAGTGACATACGGCCTGGTGAGGAAGGAAGGAGCTGATTCCAAGTATGTTGCCCAGCATAAACTTGTCATTTGGGACATGCACAATCATTTGAGTCGTACTTAATTCTTTGCAGCCTGGGCAGAAGTCACCATGGCCTCGTCAACTAAAATGATCTGCTCAGCCTAACTTCAATTTGTGGCGATGAGTCAACATTTAATGGGACTTTCACACAAAAAAGCAGATTTCACCTCCGGTCACATCAATTACTGAAGCAATTCAAGATCAACCGCATTTCATATTTTTTTTTGCATAGTCATCCCACAAAATCTAAACTTTATTTACCGTTATGATGCTTTTTACATTTTTTCCATCTATCTGCTTTTGAATTCAACTTTCATTGCGGCTCTTTGCTGTAGACATTTATCACACACACAAGTACACACACACACACACACACACACACACTTCTGCTTTATGCATTACCTGATAATGGCATGCTGTGGGTGTACAAACGTGTTATTGTGGAGTGGCTGACCTAATGCATTAGATTGAGCTCACTGTCAGGTCTTTAAGTAGCTGGGATCAGAGGCAGATACACAGCTAATGGATCCTTCTCTCCGTGGGTGGAATAACACAGTAATAGCTCTATTAAATGTGCCGCTTACAAAAAAAAAAAAAAAAAACTTAAAGGTGCAGAAGATAGGAGAAATCTATCGCATATTGTTCAGATTGTTCTGTAAAATAATCTGTTGTTCATACACAACAACTAAGAAAATTAGTTAAGACAACGTTTGAAATGGATTAACATCATTAGCATTTGTATATTAGTTCCTTTAATGCATAGCTAATTAGACACTGTGGATTTATCACTTACTGTGAAAGAAATAGTTTTTTAATTTCTACAATTACAATAATATTTACATAGCCTACGCTTGCCTTGAGGTATTTCCTGGAAAGGTTGCAAATTATTATTTTGACAGCTGTATAGCTTTAGATAAAAGGCAAGATTGGAAATGCACGCAGTCCTTGAAAAGTACAATCCAAGTCTTGAAGTTGACTGGCTATACGCCCAGAACCAAAGAGACATTCTATTGACTATAAATCATAATGTACGCAAATTTGCAGCGATACAGGAAAGTAAATGGAGATGAAGACATAGTTACAAAAATGATGCATGTAAATGAATTATTGTTGCTTCTACCACACAAATAAATATCTGTTATCAGTGGATCAGTGGATCATCAAATCTGAGCGGACAGTATTTCTTTCCAAGGAAAATGTGATCTTTAATACAAGTGGTGCCAGGGAATAACCATTAGATATAAATTATTGTTGCCTATCAAATTAAATGAAAACAAAAATGTTGCGTAGCATTTACAATCACTTCATTCTAGACGCTGACATTTTCTCAGCACGCCCAACTCCGATTGACTTCCGTCCTCCCCTGAGCACACAAACATAAAGTATACGGGTGAGATTGAGGATGATATTAAGCAATGAGAAAAGATGGGAGCTGTGCCTGACGCTGTTGACACTGTGCAACTTCTTAGGGTTTCTGCTTCTCTGCCGGATTCTCTGCTTTTTTTTTGTGACTTTGTCTTTCTACTGCTTTTTTGTTGTTATGTTTTTGCAGATTTGTGTATATTTGTGAGTGTGCAATTTAACATTTTATGTTCCCTGCTCTTGGATATCTTCACCTGTACTCATCTAGAACAAGCAGAATGTGCTCTGGAAGCAGATAGACCTCAAGGGCAAGGAGCCAGAGCCGGGTGTGCTGATATCTCACACCATATCAGACCTGAAAATCCCTCTGTCGTACGAGGTCAGGCTTTCCCCCATCACCACCTACAGCACTGGAGACTTCGTCAGCCGCATCATACAGTACTCTGAACGTGAGTCTTGTTCAACACTATTTTAGAAAACCTGTTTTCTGAGGTCATTATCTCACATGTCCGTCTCGATTTTTACAAAAAATATATACAAAAAATATGTACAAGTGGATTGCGCACATCTGAGTGTTTCACCGTTATTGTCTTTCAGCCTACACCTACCCAAGGCCTTCAGGTGAGACTTCTGCCTTCCTTTTGCGCTTCAACCGTTTTACTTTTCACAGTATTGTGACATGTTTCATGAACCCGTCTTGGCCTTGATCAAATCCTGCTAAGGATGAGAGTGAGGTAACAGTAGGATGAGAGAAGGCAAGCGATGTCTGGGAGCAGGCCCCTGACATTCAAATTGCATCAAAGAGTTTCCAGGATTAGAGGATTTGGGGCTTGTTACTAAAACTTGATTGGTTTTCAGGCTCACGGACTTGATGGAACTATGTTAAAACTATTTTAGCATCAATGTACGTCACCTGAAATATGTCCCTCCTTTTTAGCCGCCCCTCTCATTGTGTCACTGTGTTGCTCTCAACACACCTCTCATCCTCTCCCGTCTTTCTCAGTCAATTGCATCTTGTCTATTTTCTTCATTAAGAGACACGTTGCGTTTTTCTGGCCGGAGTGTCAGTTGGCTCCGCCAGGGTGAGGCAATTAAAACCACAGCAGATTGGAGAAACAGACTCAGAGAACAACAGTGCAAATTGAATGAAGCACATATAGTGGATGGAGAAAGGTGTGAATAGTCATAGATTAGCTCCCCGACACAAAGAAGGACACACACAACATGCTCATGAGTGTGCGAGATTCCGGGAAGCTTTCGCAGAATCTGTCGGCTTTAATAGCTGTGGTAGTTTGGTGAGTCTCTGATAATGGTCGAGCTTTCCTGATGGACTAATGAAGGGGACCACAACAGAGAAAAATACCCCTCTATCTAACAAGATATAATGCAAAATTCCCTCCCTGATGGCTTGCAAAAAAATAAATTTGCGTGGCAATATCAAAAATCGGACTTCCTGTGGAGAGGGAATAATTCTTTGTCATGTGAGGGTGCATTTGATCAAAGATTTGTTGTGACAGGGATGCAGATACAGATCCCTCCACAACTGTTAATGATAAGTCTCAGCTCACACAATGAGATTCATGAGGAAAAAGGTTCTCAGACTTCACAATATGTCCGCTACGCTTTTGCTGAGCTTCTTGAAAAGAGATTTATAAACCGCTCATACTTACTCATGTGCAAAACCAGTCAAACACTTTAGGGTTGAATGAGAGAAGGTGTCCAAACTTTTGACTGGTACTGTATATAATCCCCCACTTTACACATTTAGAGAAGTTGTAAAACTATTACGTACTGACTTTAATTTTATTTAAGTTAGAAGGAGATATTTTTCTTACCATCCCTAAGGTGTCAAAAAGGCTGAGAAACAATCTAAAGTGCAAACCAGGGTTCAATAGGTCAAGAGATTTCCCCAGATCTCTTCACCTGTGTAATGTGACTTTTTTTGTTTGTTTTTTTAAAACCTTTGGTTGAGGTTGTCTTTTTTTATACTATACTTTGTTCTCTTTTTTCCTTTTGACGCAACCTAACCTAATTATGGTTACTTTAAAATGTTCTGCATGTGGGAGTCATGCATCAGAATATGCATAATACCGTATGTGAAATCCACTTAAAGTTTCATATTATACACTCTGCCTCCTACATTGTCACTATGTCAGTGATTGCTTGGCTGTCTGATCTTCATATTCCAAGAGCACATTTCAGAGGCTGATATGCATATGCTTATATATATATCACCATTCAATTCCTGCTAATAGAGGTTACAAAAATAATAGATTACGTCACCTTTAGTTTGTAACGTCAACTGCCGGACATGTCATAGATTAAAGGTTAACTATTTCTTCTTCTTTTTTTTTCGCTCTCGATTCCAGACCATGTGTGTGGTTTTGAGAACGAAAGGATTTGTGGTTTCTCTCAAGACCGAAGTGATATCTTTGATTGGACGAGACAGAACCATCTGACACGGAATCCCAAGCGATCTGCAAACACGGGCCCCGACACCGACCGCAGTGGAAGCAAGGAAGGTAAGAAGTATCGGAGGGATCATCTTGTTTGAAGGTTCACGTTGTGTATTGTAGTCACAGTATTGCGAAACATCATAATCACAGTGTTGTCTTGTTGGTTTCAGGGTACTACATGTACATCGAAACGTCATTTCCACGTCTTCAGGGGGACAAGGCCCGTCTGCTTTCTCCACTTTTTAATGTGAGCTCAGTCAGGGGCCCCAAGGGCTCCGGCAGAGTCCCATACTGTGTCTCTTTCTACTACCACATGAAGGGAAAACATATTGGTGAGTACTTTGGCTGAGAATTGCACTCACACAGAAACTTGTGTGCATTAGACGCACAGCAGAGAGCATGCTCGCCCTCGGTGGCAGTGTCGTGACTTTCCTCTTTGCTTCTGTCAAAAGCTGAATTCTAAGAGAGAGAGAGAGAGAGAGAGAGAAAGTGGGGTGTTATCAAAGTTCTGTTTGTAGGTTTCTGCTTGTGCCGTGGTGTGTTTGGAGGTGGCTGAAGGGGGCAGTGGGTGTGTGATTTATGGCAGTGACACGACACAATCAGTCATTTGGGGGGAGCTGTTCATCATAATATGCTCGGTCACACAACTAGAATGCATACGTCTTGTACCATACACACCTGCACACAAACGTCTCTCACACACACACACACACACACACACACACACACACACACACACACACACACTCATACACACACGTAAGCATACTGGATACACATGCCTGTATTTCCCCCAAAACACATTAAAAAGTAAAAGCTCCTAATACATCAAGGTAAAAACCTGTTTTGTCTTCACACACAAATACAACTTGTTGATTTATGTCCATAGCCCCAGCATGCTGACTTTACTGTAACATTTGTTATATTCAGACCTGTCCTATCTCCAAAGGAGGTCATATAGAAGGGCACAAGGCTTGTCTGTGCATATGTGTTCATACCCAGATACGTGTAGGTAACATATACTTAACTGTAGAAATGAGAGAAAATAACTTTTTCTATTGCACCTTAATGACATTTTAACAACTGATTTGTCTCATATTGGATGAGGCGCTTTAACATTAAAGCTTTAGAACCTGGCAAAGGACGTCCGCGGGGGATGGTTGTTCACACGGAGTCCCTCAAGAGGGGAGGACTTTATCTGGCACATGCACTTCAGGGCCAATCCTTCATGCACGGCCTGGGTTGCTGTTATAGGTTTGAGCTGCTTGCCGATTCTTGTGGTGATTTCAGACTCTACGCCTACAAACACGCCTCAAAATTGATACTGACCCAATACTGTACTTCTGCAAGGGGCTTTGGTTCAATCCCGGGCTTGCAGGCCCCCATCACTGAATTTGCATGTTATCCCTGATTCCCATTCTCCAGGTGCTCCATTTTTCCAAAGGTCCACAAACAAGCAGATTTGCTTAATTGATGACTAAAAAATGTTCCCGTAGGTGTGAGCGTGCGCGTGAATGGTTGTCAATCTATGTGGCAGCCCCGTGACGCCATGGACACTGTAGCCCCGTGTCAGCCGGGATTGCGACCCTGAATAGGACAAACTGGTACAGATTACGGATGCATGTATGGCTGTGCAACCTTACCGTATACCGTTACAAGAGTATGCTTGATTGATCTCTCTTCTCTCAATCTCTTGCAACAGATTTCTGCGTGTCCCGATTTAAAGCACTTTGTGTGTAATGTGCACCACTAGAGCACTTATTTAAGCATTTCTCAGTCAAGTCAGTCTCGTGGTGGTTTCATTGCACAGCACAGAGCCAATAGATCAGTCCCACAGTGCATGCTCACGATTAGTCCATTCTGCTACCAGTCACGCGCACCTCTGCTACAAACCCTGCCTCAATTTACTTTGTTGTTCTCCAGGTCTATTCCAATCTGTTGTCACTTTAATTGCCTTACCTCGGCAGAGCTCACACTCCTGCAAGGAGACACAATGTGGCTCTTAATGACGAAAAGAGACAAGATAAGGATAAGTCAGTGAGAGGAGGAATGAAACGGGGAGGGGGAGGTGAGGACGGGCCAGCCGTGGAAAGGAAAAGGGAGGCTTAATGAAGAGGTGGAGAGAGGAATGTTGGTAGGAAAAATACAGAAGCAGTATGAGGCAAAGAAGGGAGATTAATAAAAACAACTATAACAGAGAGCTGCAGGAGAGGCAATCGTCTTGTTAATGTTCAGAAGTATAGTGAGAGGATGCGCTTCATGCCGAAGCACTCCAGCTAGTTTGAATGTACTCCGTTCTAAAGTGTTAAAGTACTGTAAAGTGTTAAAAGGGCTTCATATGTTGAAAGCATTTAGATACTTTGACACAATTCATTTTTTTTAGAAAAGCTTTTCAAATATCTGTCTTTCGACCCACTGTACAGTGCGGTCTAGCAGATTTATCACAAGGTTATGTGAATATGTGAAACGTTAAAGTGCGAAACGAGAAAAGGAGCACAAAGCTCTTTAGTTTGGATTTTAGATGTGCAAATAAAGACCTTCCCGTGTGATATGTTGTTCACCTTAATGGGTTTCTCTCTGGGCTTGCTGGCCGCAACAAAAAAACATTTAATTAGTTTTGTTGGCATTGAGTAGTATTTTAGACAACACTGGCTTACTTGGAATCTCTGGATTATTTTCAGGGCAGAACCTTGAAACGAACGAGATGTGTGTGTATATATACATCAAGGTAATGAATAGGGATTAAGTAACTCTGAATTAGTCCCTACTCTCTGGCTCCTGAATTAGTTATTCACTAAGATCTGAGAAGATATATATTTTTTTCTTTTTGTTTGTTACATCACATGTCATTTAGCTGACGCTTTTCTCCAAAGCAAATTTCAACCATAAGGATAGAAACCCAAAATGTACAACTTGCTATAGATAAGAGCCATTATAAGTACAATTTAAGCTACAATTGGTTAGTATTTTTAGTCAAGGTAGAGAGATGTGAAGGCTCTCTGCGGTCCTGGTGTCTTCAGAGAGCTCGTTCCACCATTTCGGAGCAAGGACAGCAAAGAGACGTGATCTTTGCTCCCAGTGAGGGAGGATCGAGCAGTTTTGCAGATGCAGAGCGGAGAGTGCGGGTCGGGATGTCGGGTTTGACCATGTCCTGGATGTAAGCTGGACCCGATCCATTCACAGCATGGTACGTGAGCACCAATGTTTTGAAGTGGATTCGGGCAGCCACCGGTAGCCAGTGAAGAGAGCGGAGGAGTGGAGTGGAGTGGTGTGTCGTTAGTGGGCAGTAGCCAAAAGACAGACCATAGTGCAAAGCTTAGTATAGTTTTGGCTCTGAGTCCAACCAAGAGTAGAAGCAGAGACAGAGAGGACTCGACCCCTACTTAGTGATAGATAAGGGACCAGGGACCAAGGGAGTAGCAATCCAATGTGGACCTACTTCTAATTATCAAAAGAAAGACATGACTGATTTGACTGATTAGTATAGCTGTGTGTGTGTGTGTGTGTGTGTGTGTGTGTGTGCATGTGTGCGTGTGTTTGTGTGGCTTAGCGTCTCCGCTGTCCTCCACACCCACAATTCTGCAGACAAATAGCCTTGATAGAGCTGTGCCTTTTCTGTCTGTCATAGCAAAACACTCTGCTTTACCTCCAATCAATAGACTGCTTATCAGAGTCCTCTTCCCTCGGCTGTGTGTGTGCCTGTGTGTGCGTGTGTGGCGGTGGTGATGGTTAGCGGGCAACAACGATAGGGAAAGAGAGAAGAAATGTGTGGTGAGCGAGGAAGGAGACAATGAGACTCAGATCGGTGGAGAATGAGAGAGTGGGCTTAACAGGTGAAAGTAGGCTACAGCAGCATTAGCCGGTGTTTCTCTCCATTATGCAGCTACAGTGCTGCCCATAACCTTTCCAATTTAATGTGACCAACAGTTGGCCTTGTTCTAGCTGCGCCATAAGTACATTGTTTTTATCACAAGCATTTTTCTTTTGTTACCGGCACGGAGCACGAACCAAAAACCAGACAATCTCACTAAATTCTCTTAGTGTTGAATCCAAAGTCTGACAGTTAAGGAAAATTAGCACATTTGCTTAGAGAGTTAGATAGGGAGAATAATAAAAAAATGTCACAGGTCTGTTTAATGAGAAATCAGCAGCCAGTTAACCAAGCTTAGCATAAAGACGACGCAACACCACGAAAAGTAACAAGATACACCTACCAGCATCTGTAATCAACAAGAATCAACCCCTGTGTCCTGTGATCCTACAGTGATGACCAGATGTTTTCTGGCTTCATGCTAAGCTTGCTGTTTGCATGAAATGTGTATTTAAATGCCTTTGTATGTGTTGTGTACATGTAATATACACAAAAATAAATGCATGGAACAAGGAAAAGTATTCTAAAATGAAGTTTTTTCACAATGTCTATAACATACTAAGAGTAGCCTGAAATCCATTGGCTTTGAAAATTTCAAGTTAATCTTTCAACGAATATATTAATTTGATGGTTCAATAAACAAGTGTGCATGTACATTGGAAACCGTATACGCCAAACACATTTCTAAATATATTATATAAATAAAATGTCAAAGGCTAATTAAGAAGAGTGTTTCTACCTGAATTGACAGGTTGCTTCACACTGCCTCTCTCTCTTAACCACATACAGATGCTGCCTTCATGGTATTTAACTTCACTGTTTGCCCCATTAACATTACATTTTCCTTAGTTACACCTTTTAGGTGACAGAGCAGGAAGGTGCCGTTCTGTTGCTTATTTAAATGTTTTGTGTACAGTATAACACACGGATACACTTGTGTATTTATTTAAGAGACTGGTGGTTGGTTAATGCTCCAATTAGGGACTGGCTGAGGGTCATTAAGAAGATGAATGTCTCTCTCACACCTTAGAGACCTGAGAGACGTAGAGAGAGAGAGAGAGAGAGAGGGACTATTTGTCATCACTTCCTTAGGGCTAAAATTATGCCATTCTCGCTGGTTTATTCCTCTGGATCCCGGACAATTGATTTTTATGTAATTTTTTCCAGGTGTTCTCACAAGTGGGTTTTTTAAAATGTGCTTATTTAAACCAAACACCATGATACACTTAAGTGAATATGGTTGATTAACAGCAACCTCTCTCCATCATCACCTCTGTCTGACTTTACCTCTTCCTCCCTCATCGCTGCTGTTCTTTCCCTACATTGTGCAAAATACAACTTTCCACTGGACTGTCAATGTAGAGCTCCAGACGCCACCGAGAGGCCGCACATTTCATTTCTACTCAAATGTCATCCTCACACATCTGACCTTAGAGCTTTGCCCCAGTATAAGGACTATGTAATGCACTTGTTTACATTTACTATATGGATTATGTGTGGTCCACGGCACAGCCATGTTATTGCTTATAGAATTTTGTATAAGTCGAAGTATGTGGTGCTCAAACACTAGCTTTGTGGGGGGAGGGGGGGGTTCTGTTTAATGGTCATAAGCTAAATATTTGGTAATGGTGGATGAATTTGTGCAAATAGAAATGACTGAACAGAGCTTACAGTAGTTTCTCAGTTTCTCTCAGTACTGTAAACTTGCATTATTTGTAGGCACAGTGGGAGCGGTAGTTAGTTACCTATATTAATGTAAAAAAGGGTTGACACACACGATCGTTAGGCCAGTTGCATATTGGATTACGTCAACGTACTTGTTCACTGTGGCACAAATCATTTTCAAGTTCGCTGACAGTTTTCTAATGATGTGTTCTGTTTGTTTGTTTGTGTTTGTGTGTGCCTGTGTGCCTGTGGGACTTAATTTGTGCATATTCTTTTCAGGCACTCTCAACGTTCTTCTGAGGGTGAGAAGCATTGCCTCTGTGGATTCGGTGGTGTGGATGAAGTCTGGTCATCAGGGCCCCGAGTGGAGGAAAGCGTTCTTCGACATCAGCCCCAGCGGACCCTTCCAGGTAATGGCCTCGCAAATTACCTTCTTCTCCCAGCGCAGGCATACAAACAACAAAACAGCATTTCAGTAGTTTTACTTTCATATTAATATTTTATCCGCCGTTACAGATATGCAATGCGTAGAACAGACGAGAGGATGTAACCTAAGAGCTTGTGTTTCCTAAATCAGCTCACCCGGCACACTTGCAATACAAAGCGTCTGGTATATATTGCATAACTTGGCCTAAAGGTGTGACCTGGCCGACTGTTTTGTCGGCTGCTTGATGTTGAAAGACCTCAACCTCTAAATTTAAATCCGCCTGAAGCGATGGTCTCTTGAGGGATGATTTGCACCACGTTTCAACAGCATTGTCAGGTCTGCTTTGTCTTGCTCTAAGAAGAAGGAATACATGGAGTTGTATGCTCATACACTCACTCTATTCCTTTTCTTTCTGCCATCTCTCTCATCTCTGAGACATTTCCTCTACTGAGACTTTCCCCCGAGAGGGAGGCCTCTCCTCAAGGAGGTAGAGACAGGGTTTTTTTTTTTTTACTCGGGTGACTGTTGAGAATCAAGGTAAATCAAGAAGAATAAAGCTTCAAACTCTACTTGGAATTTGATTAATATTTCACAGGAAATTCTCCACGGTGAAATTTGAAGCTCCAAAGAGCCGCAGAATGTCAATTGAATTTAGATTTATGTTTGAGGGCCCAGAATTATTCCAAAACAAAGTTAACTTATCCAAAATATATTTTCTGTTCCTTAGTGGAAGTATTGCTGGGAGAATGTTGGCAAAATGTACTACATATTTCTCAAAACATGATATGACGATATGATTCCATTGACATATTATTGAATTATTGCCCACCAGTTGGAGGCAGAATATCAACATCATTAGAAAATAAAAAATAGGCACAAATTTTTTAGAAGTTTAGAAGTTTAGAAAAATAACTTAAGCACTCCTCTGGCTTGAATGAATTATTATTCATCAAGCCGGGTAGATTTGTGAAAAAAAGTAACAGATATTAATGTATTGGAAAATCTGATAGATATAAATCAAACCCAAATGTTTAAATGGGTGACTTGGGTGAATTTATTTTTATTTATTAAATGTGGGTATAGTATTTTGGCATTTTAGCACCTAGGGGAATATTGATAAATGAGAGCCTTTGAATGAACATTCAGCTCATTTTCTGCTGAATGTCAGCAGCAAGCCGATGCACTCAGGTGTGTATTACACAGGTTTCACACAGATTTGAAAGATCCAAATAGTGTGCACGTGGAGCCACATTGTTACATCTAATTTAACAATAACATAGACTAAAAAAGAAGGTTTAAGAAGGTTTCAGCTAAATGTGAACAATCACTAAATCATATTCCCCGTCTGCAAAATATTTTGATGGAATCTATGTCTCCACAATAAACTTGGGGCGTTAAGTTGTTCTGCAAGAAGAGATGTTTAATTACAGCAATACTTAAAAAAATATGTAAGCCTAGTCTTTTTCACAAGGTATTCAGGTTTTAAAGTGAAATGTAAAAGAGGGCACTGATATCCGATCCGAGCAAATTATTGAGTTCGGTATCAAAAGCGTTGCTGCGAGGGATGAAAGTAAGATCGGTGCATACAGGATATTACTGAGAAGTGTGGGCTTGAGTTATTGTGCGAAATTTTGTACATTTTGCATGAATACAGTTTGATTAGACATGTGCGACTTGGGATAAGAAACCATTGGAAACCATAAATGAGACAACTGGGATATTTTATGACTTATGTTAAAAATTCGGACCAAGCTCAAATTGAGCTTGAGGGAAACAACCTTCTCTACTTTGAGCTGAACTATGATTTTTTTCTTGTTTAAGTTCACCAGAAGTTTAAGTTCACTGTACACTTTCAGTCAATAGTGGAAGAAAATGGTCTGGGAAACATAACAGGGGCAACGCTTGTTTGAGCGGTGTCTGTTGCCACATCATTGAGGTCCCTTCGGCTCTGTGGCAGCTGCGCTTGCAGTTAGCTCTGCTCTGTTGGGATGTGGCCGAGTAAACTTTATGACTCAGTACTCCTCTCCGAATGGACCCAACGCTTTCTCTCTCACCACTGTGTCTATTTGTAAGTGTGTGTGCACATGTGTGTACTTTAGCAAGTTTAACAACCCAACAGAGAGGGCGAAAAATTGGGGGCAAAAAATGCTGATGGGTTTTGTTTTGCGCGCCTCCATCCTCCCGTGTGTGTTTCTCCATCTATTTCTGTTTACGCCTTTTTTTCTCACTCTGCTTATCTCTTTCTCTGGCCGTGTGCTGTGGCAGGAGGACCAGTTGGGTCGATTCTTGCCCTGGTCCCATTCACACGCACATGCACACACACACACACACACACACACACACACACACACACACACACACACACACACACACACACACACACACACACACACTCAAGGCTGATGATGAATAGCTCTGTAACACACCCAAGATTTGCAACTGTCCGTACGCAAACACACACACTTTACTCTTTTAATATATATTTCTACCTTGTTTTATGGATTTACCTGCATGAACACTATTACAACCAAACACATGCAAACCTAGAGCCCAATTCGTTTCTTTTTAAATCAACACTTACACTAGTCTCTTATCCCCTGCAGCAATTAGCTATGACAGGTCAATTAACAGGCTTATTTATGAGCAGGGGATGCCTGCTAGTTGTGTTGTAATGATTCCAGATACTCTCTGTACGTGCACGGGGGAAATTGAATTCATGATGAATGTGGGCTGAAGGCCTTCGCTAGGGGCTGCATTTGCTCTTCATTAACTATGCCTCTGGAACACCACGTACCTTTCACCATCGGAAATTAAGTCGGAAACTGGGGGCAGACTGTAAGTTTCAGGGCTCCTCTCTGGTAGTGATTTTACTTGCATGTTATGGATGGCATTTTGGGGATAAATGGCAATGCTGGTGGGTGAAATAATGCAAGAATAGTCAAGTAAAGTAGTTTTTGGCCTACAAGATTTCTTAAAAACGATCCCTGCAGACTCAGGAATGAGCCTCCTGTGCTAGTATGTTTCGTTCGAAGTCTCTATGAGCGCTACTTCTGTGTCACTGCTAGTACAGCGTTTTGATGGCGAGAATCAGAAACATCCATCACACTTGCAGCGTACTTTATACACACACTCTACTAGGAGATGCAGACACGCAGTGTCAAAGCAGGCAGCCATTAGTCCAGATATCACATCCTGCTGGTAATGAATTGAAATTATTTTAAGCTTTTTAACACTTTAACACTTCCCTTCTTAGCTTCTTTAGCATAGGAACCACTGGGCCGTGCTTTACGGGAGGAAAGGAGATAATTCCGTCCCACAACGATCATGACCGAGAAACGCCGTTCGTGTAACAAACCGTTAGCATAACTCATTTATGTTGCAATATTGTGAATAAAGTAATACTTTGAACCTGGTGGTTTTACGTCGTTTGAGTGACTTAGCACTGTAACAACATACGAAGGCGTCTAAGATGCGCTTCTTTGTAGTCCGTCTTCGGAGAAATTGTAGTTTTGCCGCAGCAGACTGACGCCGTTAACATCCGTCTCCCGTCGCATCCAAACTACGTAGCTTAGTGATGTACAGTCAGATTCCCTAAACACAGTGGATGTCTTTTCCTAACTCTTCATGAATTGCAATAACCATCTTAGCTTGACCCGGTTTTCCACAGAGGTCAAGGAATAGTGGTTGGGAAAAGACATTAGGGGGTCATTCTTTGACCAGCTTTTCAGTAAATCTGTATTGGCTTTTAATTGTGGTAAAATGTTTAAAACCACTAAGGGTCGTACACAAATCACTTTATTAACTACACTGGAAGCTAAACATGCCAAAAGTAATACCAGGTATACTAGTTTAGCACAGTTTAGTTTTTCTTTATATTTAATAAAGCTCTACCACAAAGATCTCACAAAGTTACTACTGTAACCAACTGAGACCACCAAGACGATTCATTAGATGTACTTAAGATCTATTCATTGATATTCATGCATGTTTTTACTAAATGAGGGTAATCACTTCACACACACACACACACTGCTACTGTGTAAAAAATTAAGTTTTTAAATAATGCAGGGAACATGCAGCCTTGATCACAGCATCAGCCAGAGATGGGGAGCTGATAAACACTTATACGTTTCCTTCTTCCTTACTACTTTGTTATGTCAAGCTCTCCTGGAGCCTGAAGAAATTAAATAAGAAGGGTGAAAGTCATTTTCCATACCTGTCTTGAGTCCTTTCCCTCAACCCATCGCTGCCTCTATCTCTCTCTGTCTCCAGTAAGTGCTGGTTTCCCCTCAATCAATGATATCGATTGAGCTGTCTGCTGTCAACAATGGGAATAACCTGAGAAAATTAGCTTTTGTCGTCCTGTTGTGCTTCTTTTCTACAATTTGAAGTTGCAAAGAATGGTCCTATTAGGTCTATTTTGTCAACTGCTGTGGCTGTTGGAAGTGAAGTTTATGGAGGATGAGACTGTTAAAATGACCATTGATTGGGATTTGGGAGCCAGGAGACTTGAGTTGAGCATTGCTGTCTTTTACAAGTAAATGATACAATGCATGGTTGCCTATGCCAACGAAACAGGATTTGGAAAAAAGTTAATTTTGCATTGATTTCTTATATCAATTGTAATGCAATACTTTTTGCATGTTGTGTTGCATGGGGAATGTTTAAAAAAAATCTAAATTTTTAGTCCCCCATTACACAAATCATTTATCCCTCTTTTTCTCACAGCACATGGGATATTAGTTGAATTTTCAGCTTGATTTTAATATTCATTGTACCCATTCATAAGAGATAAAGTTTGTAAATTGGCAGTAGCTATGTTTGTATTCACTCTTTGCAGAGCTCTTTTTTTTTTACATCCCTTCCCGGTCACAGAATGATAAGTCCAAATAAATAAGTTAAACCAGTGCTTCTTTGATTTTGGAATGCAATTTCATAAAGTTCGGAAATGGTGAAAAATGGATGAGACAATAGGCCAAACTCAATGTAGCAGGTTAATTCATCATTTATAACCTAGCATAGTTTTCAATTTTCCAAAACATTGAATCCTACACTTCATACAATGCAGCTCAGTTGTATCTTCAGTTAGACTGGTAAACACTCTATTCTATGCCTCCACCATGTATGAGAAGCTTCCACCGTGTTGGCCCAAGCCATTGTAATGTCACCCTTATGACATCATCAGACATTTTTGTCAGCCATGACAAAGTTCCTCCATAAGCACAGAAGACATAATACATTGACTTAGAAGGAAGGTGTGCTGTAAAGCGAAGCTACTTTGTGATTGACAGGAAGTGTCCTTGTTTACTTATTACATCTTTAATCCCTTTCAGAGTGTTTTTTCAGTTCATGAAAGTAAATTGTAACCGTTTTGGTGACCTAAAAATGGTATATTCAGCTTTCCATTTTGGTTGCTCCACACTCTAGTATCTCACATCTCCCCCATGAACAATATTTGTGTGATTTTCTAATTCTGTTGAATTCTCCGGGGATTGCTATCTGAAACAAATGTTGTATTTTTTTACAGACTGCTGGAGTGACTGCATAATTATGCTTATTTCATTTCTTCTTCATGTTGTAAGCATGTCCATGGAGAACACAAACTTTTCTACTCCTGTGCACAGCTCACTGACTGCATACACCGAGATCCTTTGAGGTGCTGCCACGCTACTCTGCATTTCCCCTCTCTTTGTCCTCTGTCCAACCAAAGTTAGGGCATTTTTTTGAGAATAGCTTCACTTCTTTTCTCTGTGGAAAAAGCCGTAGCCTGGCCGACGGCATTAATACCAGGCTTGACAGTGGTAACTATTTACAACAAAACTAAACCAATAAGTTTCTGATCTGGATTTGGTTTCATTGAATATTTAACGAAAACTAAAGCCTTTTCTTTGAGCCGCCCATACAAAGGTCTTCACAATTACATTGTCAATCATTATATCTGTGGGGATTGCCGTTGCTGAATGTTTTTGTTGCCGTCTGTCTCAATGCTGCAAGCTTGCCAATCCCATTCCAGTTAAAAATGTAAAAATAATCTGAGTGAATTGGCCTCGAAGCAACTGTTAGTTAGTGTTTTAAGCACAAAAAACATAATACCATGACATTAGAAAAAGAGGTAACATGTCGATAGATTATTTGTAGATAAATTGTGTCTTCAGTCGCCCCTCTCTGGTTTACCCAGAGGCCATCTGTGTTCCTTGTAGTGTTTGGTACCTGGAGGGCCTGTTGGAAACCAGGCCAACTTGCATTTGCACCAACTTTTTTCTGCATCAGTATTTCAAAGTCTCTCTCTCTCTCTCTCTCTCTCTCTCTCTCTCTCTCTCTCTCTCTCTCTCTCTCTCCTTCTATCTCTGTCTCAGCTGTGTCCCCTCTGGTATATGGACAGCACATCAATCGGAACATTATAGGTTACAAGACTCGACAAAACGACACATTCACAACTCCAACCTGGCACCCTTTGATCCTGCACTCACATACTCACACACAAGCTGTCGATCTCGCTTTGTCTTTCTCACACAGACAAACTGTCACACAATGTGCACTGGTATGACAAGATATCGCCGTTTAGATGACTACCTCTTGTATAAGGTGATTCTTGATTGTTTGGTAAATGTCATAGTTTAATATCAGACATATTAGATATAGCTGCAGGCTTTTATGGCTCATGACCCCATTTTTACGATCCACAATGTCATGGTCCTTTTTACTTAAACTGTTAAAGTTAAGTTGATTTTAGAAAAAGTCTCACTTGATTATCTTCTTTTGACCTACATTAAGATATGTTTTAATTGAAAAACACAACAGTAGACAACATTAGTCCTAAAAATGTTTCATCACAGTGAATTACTTGCCAGCTTTGAGAGAATAATAGATTTACTTACTTTAACTCATCCCAGCTGCCGGTAGTAATGTTTAAAGTGCTTGCACTTGATCTGCTGAAAAGGAACATTTAAGTGAAATGACTCAAATGCTTTTCTTCTAATACTTTCCATAAAAATCAACTGCCATTATGTTGGCACCATATACCTGTATTGCATGGAAGGATATCACATTGGCTTTGTTCTGACATTCTGATATCTAAGAGAAAATGATTGTGCAGGTGGTGGTTGCACTGCCATGTGGTAGGATGATTATTTACGTTGCTGTTCTTCTCATATGTGTCAATGCTGGTGTCCGTTCCTGGGATTCCCTTTACTCGTGATTTTTCTCCTCTTGTCCGACATTGACAGGAATCGAATTTCCACTGTTTGCCTCCATTCACCGTTAACTATTTATGAAACACTGCAGGGGTGGAGTAGAGAAATTACATCACATGCCTTTGAATGCAGCACTTCAATATTAGAATACATGGAATGCCGTAGCAGTGCAGATGGTTACTGTGGTGCGTGCACCATTCCCCAGCTTTTAATTTACTCTGAACATGTACGCGGTTTGGTCAGGCTTCTCTGCTTGGTATATTGAAGCACAGGCCACCTTTTCCTGAATGTGACGGGAATATTTTGAGGGTTAAGTGCCTTGCACAGCAGCTGGATGTCAGATGAATAAATATTGCTAAATGTGCAAGACCATCTAACGAATTGTGCAGTGGGCATTTTTGAATGAAAACACTTAACAGATCAAATTAATATTACTTTTATTACTGAGCACTTTGACAGTCATATTTAAAAGAAAACATTGCAAAGTGCAGACGTCTGCAGTTAAGCCCATAGTAAGTTTAGTTGTGAGAGTTGTTTTGGTGTTTTTGGAGGTGTACTGTACAAAGTTTAATTTGCTCTTTTCCCTCCTCGTATTCCACAAAGAATACACTCAGTTTTTTATTAGCTGGGTTCCTTGGTACACCACTTTAATTAGGCTGTCAGTCAAAAACAGATGGCTGCTGGCTAAGATGGGAAAGTTGCCTGGAAAGTTTTCACATTATTCTACTGTTTGTTTTGTTATTGTGGGTCTGTAACTGATGGACCCACCGTGGACTAAGACTACATTCCCTCAATAGTTATTGCTGATGGATACTTCTACCTGCATATTGTATTTGCCACTGTTTGTTTACTATGTTTTACAGCATTATCTCATTTTAAATGCCTGGGCAATTAGTAGGACCTTTTGGAGCTACTTTATGTTTAACATACAGTATGCTTTCATCACCACACCCACAACCCCCCCCCACATCAGATTTTCAACAAATCAAAACTATTAAGCAAGTCCAATTAGTTGCGCATGCTGGGTTTTCAAATCTTTAGATATACTATATGTCCCAAACAGTGTCCTTACCCAGCATCCCTCAGTCTCTTTGTCCTTTGTACTCTCAACAGATCGTGTTTGAAGGAATTCGAGGCCCGAGTTTCGAGGGAGATATTGCCATTGACGACGTGTCCATCACCATGGGGAAGTGCAAGCAGGAAAACACTGTAGCCAGCGCAGGTAAGACAGGTAAGATAGACAAAATCACGCGGGGAAAACACAAAAATGCAAATGTGATTAACTGCCACCATCTACTAACACATATTGTATGTGAATGCAGTTACATCTTTTTAAAAGCCAAAGTGTTGATAGCTTTTTGTATTAAACTAAAATGCGAACAAAGTAATCGCTCAGGAATCTAAAAGAGAATTGAATTAATTTCACCTGAGAATAAATAAATTGAGCGGCAGCAGTGAAAGGAATTAATGGTGATAAATGCTTTTCAAAGGAACAAGAGAAAGTGATCTTCTACTTTAGGTATTTAATGTAGAGAGAAAATGCTGTTGATGCTGAACGATAACAAGTGGACATCACAGGGCACCAGCATAGAAGCCTCATCTTCTTTTTCCGTTCGCAGTGCCACTATTGCTCTATTTACCTCTCATTCGCTCCATCCTTCCTCACCACGCTCACTTCCATTATATCCCATCTCTTACCTCCTACCTTCTGTTCTTACCCTTTATCAACTGTATCCTTGACAATTGATATTTGACATTTTCTGTACAGCCTTTTAGAGTGAAAGTGTGTCATGATTCAGATTTCAAGATAAAGCGAGCATGAGGGATGCAGAATGAGATGAACAGGAATCACGGTGCAGTCGGGGAAATCACACGATGGCTAAGCATCAGTCCACCGGGTTGAGTTGTTTCACTCCATAAAACTAACCACAAATGCTGTACACCCCTTATGCTGATATGCTTGACAAGTTTGACCAGGCGATCTGGCCATGAATAGAATAGCAAAGTACAATTTTTATTATACTTAAAAATACTGTCAGTCAACTGTGCCTTAAAGGTGAGCCAAAGAGAATAACACGTCCGTTGTAGGGAATGAGTGCATGTCCATGTAAGCGTGTGGAGAGACACTCAAATAGCCTGAAGGGTAAGGGTGTGGAGAGGAGATGGAGGTAGAGAAAAGGTCAAAGACAGAGAGTGACCGAAATAAGGTGTGCGATTGTGAGTCGGTGTGTGTGTGTGTGTGTGTGTGTGTGTGTGTGTGTGTGTGTGTGTGTGTGTGTGTGTGTGTGTGTGTGTGTGTGTGTGTGTGTGTGTGTGTGTGTGTGTGTGCAGGTGAGGGGGAGAGAGAGAAAAAATAAGAGGGGACAAACAAGAAAGAGTAAATAGAACTAAAACCCCCCACCCAATTATATGCTGACACATGGGGACCCTGCCAAGGCGTGCAAAAACCAAGCGAGCTCACGCACACAAATGCATAAACATCATTAAATTCTCATCATAGCCTTCATTGCATTCTCTCTGTCTGCAGACATGCACAACAACAGCTAGTTTGCACCGTTTTCTTATTGCACACTGACATTGATGTTGGGTAAATGGCTACACTCTTAACAAGAATCAGGCTGCCTATTTGATTGTACAAAATATGGTTCAACTTACAACTGATCTTTCCATTGTTGTTTTGACAATTCATCAACTAATGTGACTTAGCAGTTGTAACTGTATGCTGGACACACCTTTACTGAAAAGTAAAGTGTGAAAAGTGTGAAAAGTTCCATTTCCAGTTTGAGTAATTGCGGTTGGAATCAACTTATGTCAATATGATCTTACATCCTAACTTAACAAATCCTTCTATCATATGAAACTAACCAACACCCTGAATTTATGTAAGAGGAGTGACCCACATCTAGATTTTCACACATCTATTGCATGGCTTAAGCAAGACAAGAAGCATAATTTGCAGGAACATCCGCTGGCTACGGCGGTACCCCAGAAATTCAGCCCCCTGTCCTCAAATCCTTATCGGGGAGATGCTTTGAAATAAAAGAAACTGTGTAAATGCTGTCTATGCTCACAAATAGACACATTTGACAACTCATTCTCGCACACATTTGTTTCATGCACAGAGGACTGTTGTCCTACGGCCCTCCACAGAGGAAGGATGATTGCAGTTGACATGTTTGGTGCAGCTCTGCCTGCATAAATTGTCGAAATTCACCAGTTTTATGAGTTCAGAGAGAGGGTGGGGGAAAAGCTTTCCTCTCACAGTTTAACTTTCTACTTTATTTTCTTCACAGTACAAAGAGTGCCCTCCTCATCTCTTCATTACTCTTCTATCACATAGATCCCCTGCATTATATTGTGGGAATCTGGGAATTCCTGTCAAATCAGAAGTAATAAAAAGTAAATCTGATGTGGCTTCATCTATTTTTCTTTTGACTTATGAACAGCTCAAATTGACAGTTGAGACCTTTATCGAGCATTGTTATTGACATACGTGACATTGACGCATGGGTAGCAATTTTAAACGCATTCTCACCTGTGAGTGTTTGGATGTTGTTAAAAAAGAAAAAAAGTAGATTTTTTTTATGCTCGGATTTGTATGAGTGGATTAAAATGTCTCAGCTCGGTCTCCAGTAATAAATGCATGGAACCCTACACGCATACGAATGAATCAATCGTATAAATGTTAGCAACAACAAAGACTATAATATAAATCATAGGAAATCTTAGATCGTCTCGTGCATCTAACTGGCAGGTTCATCTTATCAGTAAAAATGTTCTAAACAAATAAAATCAAATGACAGAAGATGTGTGCATTGTCTTGTCTAGCTGTGCATAAATAACAACAGCCTGCTGAAATTCATCACATATTGGCAATGATGACATCAATTGCAACTTATTTTTCTCATTATAATCTCCAAGCTGTCATGGTTCAAGATCTTGATGGTGAATATCTCTCTGTTTCTCTTTCTTATTTACCCATCCGTCGCCTCATTCTTGGTTCCATCAACCTCAACGTATTTTCTTTTCCACTCAACTCTTTCTTTTATTTCCTGACGGTGTCTCACTTTTCTCCCTGTAAATCATAAAAAACAGATTCATTTTTCTTCAACCCTCCTCCTGCTTTCATCACACAAAAATAACTGGACAGTTTGCCACAACAGGGCTTTTTTTCATTGCCCATGCCTCTCCGGTCAGCCTCAGGCTCAGCGACAGCCGGAGGCCAAAGTGTTCGATGTATACATGCAGTTATGCGCTCAGCCAGTAGTTAATGTAACGTCAAGCAAGTTAGCCTGGCATTCATCCACAACCACATACGTAACATGCAAAATACCCGTGTCTAATTGGTTATTTGGCCTGATAACAAGATTAAGATTTAATACCTCTATTAAAAAAATTGGCATCAATTGGTAGACCGCTTCATAGTCTTTGAATAGAGAAGGCTGATTGTCCAAATGAGGTTTTGCAAAATGTAATGTGACATTTTCCATTGACTCTTTACATGTGTTTGTGTCATGCAAAGCACCATGAAGACATTTTAAAATACACCCATAAGCTCTATATTCAGAGCAAAGTGATTGCTCTCAACATGGCAAGGACTGATCTAGCAATAATGGTGCAATCAGCGCAGTGTTGACATAGCTAACAGCTTTTACCTGAGGTGTAGGTCTGGTAACAAGGTGTCTGTAAGTACTTAAGTGTTTCAGATGAAAAGACAACTGTTCTTTTTTTTTTTTTGCCTGTTTCCATAGTTCTGATAGGTAGATCACACACGCTCCCAGTGGCCAGCCGGCTGACCTTTGGCCTCTCCTGCATCCTGCTGCTGCTCTACAGATGATGAGTGTTTACCTGCAACTCTGCGTGTCTGTGGTGACAGACGCTGCCCTGACTAGCGCACTTACACTTCTCTCTTTCCTCCTGTCATTACCTCTACTTACCCGTCTCAGTGTCCATCCTCCTCAACGCGTTTCTGTCTCTGCATTGATTTCACTTGCTGAGATAAGTGGTAACTCAAAGTCCTGTTTTCAATCCTCTGCTTTCTTTTAACCCCCCCCCCCTTCCTCCCCCACCCCAGACACTGACTGTGCATACTCTATTTAAGGTATACAGACGTAGTGACCTTTGATCGTTGTACTTCACACTCCTCCCCACTGTCACGCTATTTATTCATTTGAGCCATTAACTGGACCCACGTCGGCGTGACACTTTGCGACCGTCTCCTCTCCTTCATCAACCTCTATCAATACTTACACGTATCTCCATTCCCTCAACCCACAATCCCCAACGGCCCGTATCGCCCTGCTCCCCAGACACACCAAAGTGTCAGACACTCAACCAAAGATGACAAAGGACCCGAGGGATATAACGAGGAAACAAGGATTCCAAGAAGAGAGCAAAGGAGAGAGAGAAAGTGGATGAAATCTTACTTTTTACACAGAGGCCGTCTCCATTCCGTCCCAACCTTTGGGGCCGTGGGAGCAACTAAGAGACACACGAAGAAGGACTGTTGAATAAATTAATGAATAAACAAATGAATGCTGAGTGAAGGACAAAGCAGAAACAGAAAAAAATGAAGTGTGCTTCTGGCTTCTACTTGCCACAAGAGACAAACCTCAGTGCGGAAAATACGTGTACATTTATCTCTATATATATTAAATATAACAAAGTTTAAACTAAAACACAACTAGGACAGTTGAGGACTTTACAAAGTGAAATTCAAGAAGCACAACGTTTATACAACCTCTGCTGTTCCTTTTGGTTTTATTCTACTTATTATGTGATGTTGCAGTTTGTCAGACCTATTCAATGTTTTTGATATTTTACTTTCTTGTTTTGTTTAAGGGTCCATGGCAATGGGTAATAAAGTATTATATTAATATTTCTAAGGAGAATAGAAGATGATTTTTGATCCAGAACCTGAAAGAGAGAGAGAGAGGCAAGGATGACCTGAGCCACCTGGATAGAAATCTCAACTTTTCCTCGCACATACTGAAGACACACACACAGTTTTCCTTGCTGACATCACAGGCCGGCCCTGAGTCTCTTCCCCACATACATGTCTTGACTGTGAATTACACATTTATAAGGAAAACCATGGATGGTAGACGCAACTTTAACATTTCTGCTCACATGCCCCAAACCTCTTATCACTGGACATCACGGTTGATTGACCCCAACAGAATAGCTGGACATATCTCTAATGAAGAGAAACGTATGATGTTCATTTGAATACTCTGCAGGTGATTCAATGTTGTGTATGAATTTCCCGTACACTTCTTTCACAAGAGTGAAGCATGGAAAATATTGTCAGTGTCTGGCTGGTGTGCAAAGTGGATTGCATATTAGATTCTCTGCCATATTTTAGTTTAGTGTTAATGTCTTTAATGTTTCACAGTTTTTCCATAACCATAAAGATTTGATTGTTAAAGTTAAGCAATACTCAATCAATACATCCTATTGCTTCAAAGATGGCAGTTCATTCTGCAGAAACACCATCTTGTCTAAAACGCATCGTAATGGGGACTTCTCATCATTTGTAGTTTCCTTTTGTTATAATAGTAACTAAAGCTGAAGGTATTTCAGTCGTTCGGGGGGAGGGGGTAGAAAGCATGTTTGCATTTGGCTGCTTCATGCTTCAACTTATCTCTAGAATTCCCAGTCACTCGGCTACAATAACTTGTGTATAGTAAAATGCTTCATTACCATATGCATTACATGCAAATCATGTCGACACATAATGTACTTTTGTCTGTCAATTGAAATTTGCACTTATTTCATTTTTTAATTTCCGTCAGTGCAAATTGCATTGTTGATTTCTTAATCGTGAATAGTAAATAACACACAGAAATATTGTGCTTTCTTGACATGCCCAGTCAGCTGTTACTACTGTATGTGTAGAACATCATCAGCAGTGTAAGGCATGCTTGACAAACCACAGTGTAGGAAACAGATAAGGAAGTCATTGAAAATCTTCTGAAGGAAAACTCTCCCTATTCCTGTATCACTGTTCTATCTCTGTCATTATACATTTACTTTGGCAAGATGAGTAAACCTGATGGCAGGTTTTATTTGAATGATACAATATATTTTAGAAATGTTTGCAATCTGAGTAATATGCTTTCCTGTAATGTAGCTTGGTCAATCTGCGATCATATTATAGTAATAATAATAATAAAGCTAAGCTGAACATATTTTAAACATTCTATAATACCTTCAAAATGTTTCTGTCATCATCTAAAAAGACAACTTAACAAAAAGTGTTTTAACCATTCATTGTAACGACCACAATTCCACTTGCATATTTGACCAAGGGAATTGGCCATATGTGGTATTTATCAGCTTACGTTGTACAGTATCATAAGCTTTACTCAGCTCTAAAGCAGCGAACTGTAGGGTCATTGTGTTACACATGTCATAATAAATACATTTCAGAAATATCATTAAGAAATGTTGTGTAAGGCATTTCATTGTGCTTATTGTCAAACCATCGCTCATACTGGCCCATATTGTAATGTCTAGAAACAGAGGAAACGGCACCATTATCATCATTGCACTTGGACACATGACCACTGAATCAACAGAATACTGTTGACGTCTTAAGATGCATTATCTGTCACCTTTGTTCTATTTCCCAAAATGACACAGAAAATCCCATTGGTTGTGTTTTGCTGTTGTATGACGATGTATAACTCAAGTTCACATTGACAGAAAATCTGAATATCACAGCATGCCACATTCAACAACCCATGGCTGAGCTTTCCATCCATCATTGTGTTGACCGTTTAAGCATCGCATTGTCATTTTTTACCAAAATTAAAGTATGTGGCAATATGGTACAGTGCGTAAGTAACTGTCACTCTATCCAATGACTTTACAAAAATGTATTCAGAATGTTCCTCGAAAACTGGCTCATTATGGTCAACTGGTTCATGATTAGCTTTGGGTCCCAGTATTACCGTCCATACGGAGTACTCAAGAGAACGTACATCAAACAATTGCAATATTTTAGACATGGTTTAGGTAATTGCCTTTTTAAAATAGTAATCAAACCACAACACTTAATTTTTGCTGGAACGCGCAGAAGGGTGAAGTGTCCATTACTCTTCCGTGGTCCAATCTCATGCTGAAGAGAATTAAATTAAAGGCTTTTGTCAACAATAACAACTTTTTTCTTAAGGGACTTACGTTATGGATTTGAAATAAAAAAAGAAAATTTAATTTAATTAAATGATGGCGATGAATGCAAACCAAAGACTAGACAACTAGCCAAAAGTTCACCACATGATTTAGTCATAAAAGGACCTAAACTGTTGGACGTAATTTTATCAGGCCAGTTTATATTTACCTAGTGTAAAGATTTGTCTATTCCAGAATGTTACATTCCGTCCTTTGTATTTCAGTTGCAATGTTTTCATGTAGAATAAGTTAGCAAAATGCCATGGCCCTGTGCAGAGGGCTCTAAAAGCACACACTGTAGTTTGGGTATCTTTTTATGTACATTAGATGTAAGCAACGTTGTATCAGCAACATGCTAATTCATCTGTTTACTTCACTTCACTTCACTTCACTTTGGAACTGCTCATGTTAAAATACCGGCTCATTGTCATGCCAGTTTGTAGGATAGTCTCTGAAATTCAATATATTGTTTTTGAGTAAATGGAGACAAAATGTCCCTTTTTTTTCCTTGCGGCTTAGCGCAACTATAATTCACCATCAATTTGGATCATAGAAATTCAACGCATCCACGTGACTATGCAACAGTCAGAGTGAGTGAGATTCAATTATTTATCAAGAAAGACCCCTTACGTTGAGCCGGAGTGATAGTGGATGGTGTCCAAGAAAACACAGAACAACATCGACGCGGCTGGTGTTCAACGCTGTTTGTCCCAAAGTGTTGTTGTGAATTAACGCTTTTGCGATGTTTTTCCTGAAACCATTTAGTGTTTTTGTTGTGTAAACCATTAAAATACATTTTGAGACTATTTCACAAACTTTCATGAGATTGTGTAGGACGTACACGAGTACACACTGTATATAAGTAACCAGGATTTGAACGTCAAACTGACTGTTAATAATCCACCGACTGTATACTGTCTTCACTAGCTCGGACAGATTGACATACAAGACTGACTCAAACTAATCCACCTGTGTCTTGTCCATTACTGCAAAAGCTGTGAATACACTCGGCAACTGCGTCAAGTGGCAACAGAAATAAAAGCAGAGGTTATTGTCTTTTTATAGTGGGGAATGAGACTGTGTGTTTCTGAGTGCTGCTAACCGTCCAGGTAACGTTATCAGCGTATTACAGTCTTGGTTTACAGGCAGGAAGGTTTTTTTTTCCCACAAAACGCTGTGACCGTTGTCCTGATTTCCCTGAAAAAAGGTTGAAAAGAACATACTTGGGATTGAGAATGTTCCCTCCAAAAATGAAATCCACAAAGTAACTGAATCCGAGGGCTTCAGTGGACTTTTGCACATTTGACAAACACACATGACAGTGTTTCTGTTTGTGGCATCAAAAGTTTCACAGAGCAGCTTCAAAATGATGAGCCTTAGAACCTTGTGAATAACATGTATAGGATTCAACTCACTGTGATAAGTCTATATATTAAGTAAGCTTTGGGAAACAGTGCATCGGTGACAGTGATAGTTGTGCCTGTAAGTTTTACAGCATACACCAGTTTATATGTATTGATCCATAATGGAACAAAATTTGTGAAATGCACCTTTAATGGAAGGAAAATGGAGAGGGGTATCAAGTGTTGTATAGCTCTGTCATGTACTGAATATTTTAGAGGAAAATATATTTGAAATAAGACTGAAAGGTATGAATAAAAATAAATAAAACAAAAAGTTTGAGTTATTATCTTTTTTCGCTCCAGTTGCTCTTGTGTGAAAAAAGGGAACGTACTGTACTTTAGTATAAAAATACATATTCCATCTCTGGAAAATAAATAAATGAGAAGGCTTCTGAATAGGTATTTGTGTGACGATAATGCCAGCATTAGTTTAAACTTGAGACAGAAGATACAGCTGCACTTACTCTGTCGTAATCTAAATCCGTTTACGGCCACCTGTAGAGAAAGGATCAACATGTGGAGTTTGCCTTTGGTACAGTGAGCCAGTGAAGGAAAACAATATTGGGCTGAAACAAAAAAGGCAGATAGCAGGAACATAAGAATTGGTCAAATCAACAGTTTGGTACACTTATAAAAAGAAGGAATGTACTGGAAAGCGCACCAAAACCAAAAGGCCACAGACGATATCCCAAGTAAGACTAGGAAGGCCATATTGGTCGAAACTGCGAAAACAACCAAATAGCTTCTCAAGACAATTAAATGTAAAATTGATCCCACCCCATTGAACATGGTTTTCATTACTTAAGATAAAACTGAAGGGCAGAAAAAGAAATGAAGCACCACCAAATGAAGGAGCCTGCAGGAACAGCCTGGCAAAGCATCTTAACGGGGGAAACTCAGCGTTGAGTGATGTCTATGGCTGCACGACTTCATGCAACCATTGACTGAAGGTTTTTCCTCAAAGCATTAAACCTAATAAAACTAATATGTCAGTTTGTTCAATTTCCTCCGAGCCTCCGAAAATAGCTGTAATTCCTAAACTGTTAATGTGCCGTTTTCTTCAAACAAACTTAAACCTTAAGTATAGATAATGGCATTGCATCTTTAGTAGTTTTGTTTAGTCCTGACCCGAGTCTTGTGCTCTGGGTTCAGAATAGACGGCACAGATTGAACTTGTTCTACATGCAACATACGCAACAACTAATGAGAGTCCTCAGGAATTCATAAATTACTAAACTAATTTCGGCAGTTGCTTGCTAACGACTGTACTGACAAGGCTGCCAGCTCATCCGTGTCTAATTTGTGAGCTGTGTGTAAATTAACTCACACCAACGGCTTTCTCTCATCTTTCAGCACCTCGGCGTAGAATGTCACCACAAAGTCACGTCATTAACGAATACAGTAATCGGAACTCATTTACACTCCGAGGGTGCGTGATTATCTTCTCACTGGCGTTCACATGATCACTGTCTCTAAATGTGTTTAGTGATTGCTTTCTGTTTCTCTGGTTTTGTTTTATTTCTTTTCTTTCAGAGGATTTACCATTTTTCTTCAGCCACTGTCTCCCATTCCTCTTCAGTTATGTTATATGCAGTAAGAATAAATAACCTGTCTGGTTTAAACCCTCTCCTAACAGACTGTTCCCGTTTGCTTTAGTCTGGAGATCTGGATTGTGATAGCTAACACGTATGTATTGCACAAGTTTTGACTTTTCTTAAGAGGGCATTCTTCTTCCAGAATAAACCCCCAAACGCAGCAAAGATATGGCTATGATCTGTATATATATATATATATATATATATATATTAAACCAGACAAAATGGGACAAACAAGAGAAAAATAAATAACTGGCATTGGCTTAACCACACATCCTCTTTCACTATTCACATCTCCTCTCTTTTCATCTTCTCTCTCTCAATTCAGCGGAGCAGAGATGTACAGATAGAAGTCTAATTAATGTGTGCTTTCTCCTCTGAGCCGCCTCTTAGTGGAGCGCGGTGTGGAGGGCTTTGGGCTGAATGGCTCAGAGCTGCGCTGTTCTCCTTCATTTGTTGTCTTTCACACTGGGGAGTTGGGATTTCTCATCGAGGCTGCGACTCCAGTTGTCTCACACTTGGACGACGAGGGGAGAAGGACTTCACTGCTGCGCCTCTTCTATTCAAAAGAATACTCCGGGTTTATAGCCGATGAGCCCAAGCATTGCTTTGGAGAGATCTTCACGACGTTTAGATGCTTACCTGGAATCAGTAAAAGGTTCATTCAAAATGTAGTTATTTGATTTCACTGCTAAACTATCCGATATTGCAATGCAATATCAACTCGTATTTACTACAGAATTATTCAATTGTTTCTAAAAAGGCAACACAGGCACTTTGACGTTAGGGAAAGATTGTGCCAATGGTATAGAAAAGGTCAGGTCACATAACAGTCACGAGGAAATCGATAAACTCAAATAGATCACCGCAGAATAATCTATTCATAAAAGCAACTTTCCTAGACTGAGAAATTGTTTTGTTTACCATTTACTGTCATCTTAATTTTTCATATTTGTTTGTCATTTTCGACCATATTGCTGTTTTGGCATTACTCTAAAATGTTTTATTTTTTGTGGATGAACAGTCCATCAAATAAACATATTTGTTCTTTTACCCTCGCAATAGACATACCTGGTGGTGTGGAGTAAAAGATTCATCCTCCCCCCCCTTCATTTTCTCCTTTCCTCGTCCTTTTCTCCAGAGAAAGCCAACGCATCTCATACATCAGAGCTTTGTGTTAAACACACACCTTAACATTTCGCATTGCTCTCAAAGGAGCAATAAACTACGTGAATAAAAGAAGAATTCCATTCGTTTTGTATTCAGCCACTGGAGATCTTCTGTGCTTTTTCTTAGACACTCTGAGTACAGACAATTCTACATCCTTACAATTGTCCTCTTTACATTATTCATCAAAAGCTATTCTCCTTTTGCTTCTTTAAATGCTTCCTAAGAGGCATGAATCTGAAGGTAAAATGTTGAATTGTTCTGATAAATATTTCAGGGTCTCAGGTGAACAATTCACTCAAAAGGACTCCAAAGGACCTGCATATCCAACAAAGCTCCCATCTTCCACTTCCACAATTCCCACAATTTTTCTGACTGTGTATGACCATGATAGGTATGCTGAGTATAGCGTGACCTGGGATCGGAAAATGTGGAATTCTGTCCATATCATGCTCATAAATTTCCCCATATAAATAAAGACAAATCTTGGTTTCACTATGGAAACACAAAAACTGGATGGACAAAATTAAAATGAATGAAGAGCAACAACAAAAAACAAATTAACAAGATGAGGACGACGGTGATGACCACTAAGATCATTGAGAGCAGATCATGTTTTTGTCATTGTCTGTTGTACTGTATGTATTTGAGCTCAATATGTATTTGCTATGCATGTATAATCTATGTACAATGAGTCTAGTGTATAATCTCCCATGGTCGAAGAAGAATTCAGTCCTGATTTGTAAAAAAAGAAGTCGGCTATCTGATTGATTTAGAAATTATTTTAAAGTGGTTACTTTCTTTTACAGTAAAACCTTTGTATCAGATCACATTTTCAAGTTAGCTTTGAATACAGAGTATTTAAAAATATATTTAACGTTGTATTATATAATCTTTCAACTTGTTATGGATTATTTTTGTATTCACTTAGATTTAAGTGAGTTATTTTAAGTGACTTTTATGTGTTTTGTAGTATAGTATTACATACTCTTTTTTTATATCATTGTTTATGGGAATGAATGACAAGGCATTGCTGTTGGAGAAGACCTATTGGGCTCTTTGCAAACTGATGGTGCATAGACCACATCATCTTTGAATGGTCTGTTGATCATTGTACTCAGGATTTACTGTGTTGGAACAGTATAAGCAGTTTTATTTCGGGGTTCATGTGTGTGTGGGTGTGTGTGTGTTTAAGAGGATGGAGGAGGCTGTGGAGCACGTACATCCCCGAAAGTGGATTTGTTTGCTCACCCTTTCACAAAACCCCCTTCTTGTTGCCTGTGGCATAAATGAAAATGATGTGGGAGCACGGAACATTTACATTTAGGCTTTTGGCTTTATCCGATTGGGTCATCTGGAATGTTCAACAAATGCTTTTAACACGATGGACATCAATCTCAAGATGATCAAGTGGTTTTAGTAGAATATTTAAATTAAAAAGTCCACATTGAGATATATTGACATTGCTTTTAAGATCGCTCTAAAATCAATTAGATGCTGCAGTAAAATCGAGGGAAATGGGACCAAAACCAGATGGAAGTAGAAAAGTGTAAAAAGTGTTTTGCACTCCCTAATCTAAAGTTTTTTCATTTTACAGTTAAAATCTTCATCATTTTGATAATTTGTCTAGGAACATTCCAA